ACGCAAGTTTTTCTGACTGAAGCAGTCTGGCTTGAAATAAATCAGGCTGAAACGAAGCTTGGAGAGGCAAACTCAGCCCAGGACACATCTCCATGCCTATGGGAGACAGCCAAACATCATTTAGGAAGCTAAATTTACCATGCTTCACACACATGGAGTCAAATTTCCCTCATCCTTTTACTGCCATTTAATTAATTAGAGCAGCCTATGTGTAAGTGCTTTAAGGGGAAAAAAACCCACCAACTTTCTTTTAACTGTGCTATTCTGACTCTGGTATGTAGCTGGTCAAAGGAATGACACTGGTTAAAACTGGAAATCCTATGGAAAGAAAAATTCTTTTCCTTTCCACTTTCTGATTCGTGTCCCAGCTTCCACAGGTTGGAGGAAACGCGCTGTTCAAATGCAAATATTTACTAAATAACAAGCTATGAGCTCAGTGACCTATGAGTCAAACCCTATCCAGATCCATAGTCATGAAGTGGATAATCATTTGAACCCATCCACAGGGAAGCCAAACCCACACAGCTACCTGCACCCTTCAGAAATGGTGTGTTGGAGGTTTGTCACCCTGAAGGAGCATCTGTGCAGGTGTTGCAGCTCCTGTCACTCCACTGTCACCATCGTGCCCATTCCCCTGGGACCATCGTGCCCATTCCCTTGGGACCTGGCACATGCCAGCCCTAGCTAAACAACAGAACTGCAAGTTTTGTTTCATGCCCTTCATTCTAGAACTTCATTACACATCAAAACAAGAACATTCATGTCATTAAAAGACACCAGGCTGTTGAAGATGAGAAAGAGCTGCATTATCTGTCTGTTCATTATTTAATACCAGTGAAACTCAGAGCAAACTCTCTATTGAAAACATCCTCAAAGCTCCAGCACGGCCACTACAGGGGTCAGCTCTGGGGATAGGACCCAGCTCACTGATTCTACCTGAAGTGAATTAAACCAATATCAGACCCCAAAACTTCAGAAGGGATCCAAACTGACCCCCAGAATTAAACATAAATTCTGTGCAGGGACCAGACCCAAGCAGTGCCAATTACATATCTCTCTAATTGCCCAGTTATTGGACCCGGACACTGATGTTTCTCAGTCTCTTACATGCAAAAGCAGTGGCTTTAAAGTGAGCTCCACCATGCTGCTTTCTTTCCCTTTGGATTCTGCTGCAGTTTAATGTTCATCAAGGACTGAAGTTGGGAAAACACAGGCACTCCCTTACATACGAAGCTTTATTAAGTTGGGATCATGCTCCCTGTTGGCAGGCTGAGGAATAGAGAGACAGAGGAGAATGAAACCGAGAGGAAAAAAAAAACAAAACAACAAACCAAAACAAATAACTTTCACTCTTCAGAGCAGGCACGCCTTCTTACTCCAGCTCCCGCTGCCGATCATTCATCCCGCTCCTCTCAGCTCCCAGCCAGTAAAGAGTCAACATCTCACTCCTGTGAAAACATGAGCCACCCCACTCCAGAGCCACACGCCAGAAAACACCCTGACAGGGACTCAGGAGGATCCCGTTTCTCAGGATGGGGTTGCATTTCCACAAGTAGAACTGAAATATCTTTGATTACACCAGAAGCAAGGTCAAGGGAGCTTTGAAAGGTCTTATTTTGCACGGCGTGTGCGTATCACCTGAGCACAGCCCGACCTTAACTCCTTCCTCCACAGCCGGAGGTGCTTTCAAAGGCTCCGCGGGGGAAAGCGCTCAGACTCGAAATGATTAATACCATGTGCACACGTGTGTGTTTACAGGAGGGATGTGCTGTGCTGTGTGGTAGGTTCGCACATCCAAGGGGTGTTTGTCCAAGAGCTGTGTGGCCCGGGGAGGGAGGTGGGGACGCAGGAGCCGGGAGCTGCCTCCTCCTGCGGGAGCTGCACCGCGGGAGCCGCTCCGACCGAGCCCAGCCCGGCTCCAAAAACTGAGCCTTGGCGTAACACAGATCAGTGGGTCAGGCTTCCACTTTCCCAACTGCTTTCCCCGACAAATGCCAGAGCAGATATCAGCGGAGTCAAACAGGGCAGCAATAACATCACTGCCAACCAGCGTGAAAATTGGCAGAGCCCGGCACCAGGGCTGCCTATCATCAGAGACGGGGCATGGCCCGGCACAATGACGAACCCACTTAACAGCGCTGTAAAATTACCCATTTATGAAAACAAATTGAATACTGCAGCAGAGGGTGACGTAAGGAGAGTTGGCTCCAGCCAGAAACTCCTGTAGCCTGGATTAGCAGAAGAACTCCGCTATGTCAGGAGCAGGAGCCGAGAACAACTTGGGTCCTACACGAGATTTTTAACAGACACAACAGGTTTCCCCTATAGGCACACAGGGGGCTCCTATAGGACTTGCAGGGATTACTCATAAACCAGCAAGGAGGGGTGGAAGGGAAGCAGTCAGCACGGGCACAACGTGGGGGGCAGAAAGTAGATGAAGGTACAAGGGCAACTCTGAAAAAGAGTTGTCTTCTAGTCAATCCCGCCCTCTCCCTCGGATCTGTACAGCCACACAGTTTCCCACTTTGCAACTGGGATGAAAGTTGGGGAGAAACTCACTCCTGGCACTGCCAGCAAATGTGCCCCAGTCCCTTCCCCCCCACACACACCCAGGTGGGATCTTGATTTCGGTGGGGTCCTACAGATGCAGCTTCAACAGCAGAACTGAGCTGTTCAGTCTGTCACATCCCAAAGCAGTGAAAATGTGAAAGCCAAGAGTTTTGGCAGCCAGAACCCTTGATTTCCTCATTGAGGGAAGCGTAATCTCTCCCTAAGCTTGCTGCAGGTCTGGGAGGCTGTGGTGTGCGGAGGATACTCTGAGTGAGTTCCTCTTGGACCTCTTCCAGGTGTTTACACACAGAGCCAAACCTGGCTCCTCTTCAAGAGTGCGTGCGAGGGGGGCAGGGGGAGCTTAAAAATAAAATAAAAATCACAAAGTCCTCCCGAGCTGAGCTGGAAGCTCCACGGTGCAAAACTGGGGCATTTCTCTTCATTTTTCACAGTGGAATGTTATTTCCATGCATAAAATGGGTCAAGTGTTTTATACAGGCAACAACCCAACCTCCCCCATCCAATTAAAGTATTTTACTACAAATGATCTTTGTGTGTGTTTGTTTAGGTTCCCTGTTGTGTAAATTAGAGATACTTGCACCAAAGACAGACGTGGGGTCTTAGGTGTTGGATTAAACACATCAAAAATTGCACTGACCGTGTTTTGCTACCGATGAGATCTGTGTAAACCCAAATTCTGCCTTCCCTAACTTGAAAGGGAAGCACTTTGAGCCCTGGGGTTTAAGTTAGGAGTGGGAACCAGAAGAGTGGAGCATGAGAAAGCCAGAGGAAATAAAGCAAGTAATAACCTATTTCACCTATGAAATGACTCCTCTAAAGGCACACGGGACCAGCCCATGCCCGGCACCTCCTGCCCACCCCGGCAGCCCCACACACAACGCGTCCCCCCTCCCAGAGCAACCCGGACTGGGGAAAGTTAAGGAACAGCACTGCTGACTTCGTCTCAGTTTTTGTTTTCCTTCGGACAAAGCAACTTTCCAGCGAGACAGGAGCCGCGCCGGTCAGGGATGGGGCAGCGGAGCCGGGAATGTGGCAGGAGGGAGGGTGGCAGGGGACAAGGCGAGCGGGGCTGGCGGCACCGCCGGCACAGGCACCGCTGCCTCCCGCTAGGAAGTCACTCCAGTTAAAGGGAAAGGGGAAATCCTCCCTGTCTCTTTAAGGCATCCTAGGACATGGAAACTTTGTACTTTCAGGGAATCTCCTTGCCAAAAGAACTGTAAAACATGTCTTCCCCCACCCCGCTCCCCCCCCTATAGCCGTTTCCTTTTCTGGCTTGTTTCCTTTTTTTTTTTTCTAAGGGCATTTCCATTTTCTATGACTTCCTTCAAAGCAATGATGGATTGTGGCGACATTTATAAGGGTTTGTAAACCTCCGAAAAAGTAATACCGATTTCAGCACGAAAAAACTTGCTGCAACTTAATCAATAAAGCGAAGAAAGGCCCCGGGAGGTGGCGGAGGGAGGTAGGGGAGAGGGAGCGAGCGCGGCGAGAGGGACCCAAATTCAGGATGGGCTCATAAAATTTAAATAAGAAAAGTGCAATATTCCTCGTTATTGTCCAGCTCAGACAGCTCTGACTGGTAGCTGCTTTGAGTACTAAATGATTTTATAGGGCTATTTGACCTCAGAATCATTGATGTTACACTTGCCATTTCTAAGGGGAGACAAAAATACTCAACACATCCTCTAGCTGCAGTGTGAGTCCCAGCCCTAGCTGAGTGTCGAGGGGTTGGGAACTTTATAAACTCATTTGATTCATTTGAGGTTTCACAATAGCCAAAAGTTCCTTTACAGCTTTTTGGAAACCACATGCTAACGTTGCATCTGAAGGGCTACGAGTGAAGTACACTAAAAAGCTAATAAAACTAAGGAAATCGTAGGGGGACCTTAGATATGCATTTCTTTGCAGCCACACACCAGACACATACACTCCTTTTCATACATACAAACAAGCTACTTTCAAACGCTCTACTTACAGTTTTCCAACCTGAAAATTAGACAAAAACCCACCGGGCGAGCTGGCTCTTCTATCTGCATCTCAATCCGCGCGCACAGAAAGACAGAAACCACCCAGGGCACTGCCATTTCCCTATGCAAAAGTTTACATAACTTTTCTTTCCCTTTGCGAGCACACAACACTTTTCAGGCGGCTCGCAGAGCTCCGGGATCTCTCTCTCCCCCCCCCATCCTCCCCGAACGCGCGGCTGGTGAAGGCAGCCGGGCGTGTTTGCACATGCACTGCCCTCCGTGTGTCTGAGCTGCGGGGCACACGCGGGGCTCACACACACTCACACACACACCCACACCCCCGGAGCACACACGCACGCCTTCCCCCGGCTGCTCCGCCGGCTCCCGGCGCGGAGCGGGCAGGCAGGGAGGAGGATGCTGCTGCTGCTGCTGCGCAGCCACAGGCGCGACCAAAGTACCTACCTGCAATGACAGCCGGAGATCTCTGTCCTCCTTCGGCTTTCAGCCACACTTGCAAAGTGAAGGCATCTCGGGGCAGCTCAATATCTGCCTTCAGCCGCAGCTGATCACCTTGGCCACTGAAATAGAGCGCCCTGCTCGGGGTAAGGGACTCCTCTTCGTCCTTTACCTCCCGCTGTTGCCTCCTGCGGGGGACATGCCCAGGCTCCAGCCCAGCAGTGGAGCGCCTTCCTCGGGCTAACCTGGTGGCACAGGTGCCCGGGGCAGTGTGGAGGAGCTGGCGGCTGTGCCTGGTGTCCCTTCGTGCCCTGCGGGAGCGCTCGTCCATCCCACATTCGGGTCCACTGGCTAGGGCTGTACAGAGAAGCGCAAGAGGCAGCAGCAAACTCCAGAGCTGCATTTCCAATCTTCCCCCCCCTTCTCCCCTGCAAATCCTCCCGATCTGCCAGCTTTGGGCTCCTCCTTGCCTTGACTTTCTTCTCTTGTTCACCCTTCTTGGTATTTGCTCTTTTTATAACCCTTCTCAGTTGCTTTTTCTTTTCTTTTTTTCTTTTTCTTTCTTTCTTTTTCCTGGTTATAGATTTTTTTGCTCCTTAAAACAAATAAAAATCAAATAAATCAAAACTCCTTCTTGGTTGAAATGTATTTCTCTGTTCTTCCTCCTCTATCTGTCTTCTTCTCCTCTATTCCTCCACAGCTGGAATTCCTCTCTCTCTTCTTTTCTCTGCTGGATTTTCTTCCCTTTATTTTTTTCTTCTTAAAAAAAACACACACACACACTCACACACACACAAAACAAAACAAAAAACCAAAACAACCCCCCCAGCTTTCTCCAAGACTCAGACCCACTGATTTCCCTCCCCCCAAAAGATGCTCTAATCTATTTATTTTTTTGGCCTCCTTTATAACATAAGCCACAACCCCCTCCTTCCCCCCAACCTCCCCCCCTCCCTTCTTCTCCACAAAATGAAAGAAAAGAGAAAAAGCCCCTCAGAAGATGAGTAAACAAGAATATGCTAATCTACTCTAGGGTGCTCCACCTTCCCAATTGAATGATTCCCATTAAAACTGCAGGGATCATGACTAATCAATCAGCTTGAAGGAGCAGATAGCTCCAGAGGTTCAAACACTTTTGCTCTTTTGTTTTTCCCCTCTTCTTTTCCTCTCTTCCTCTTTCCCCCCCTGTCACTTTCCCCCCCTCTTATTTATATTTTAAAGAAGACAATCAAGATGAATGGATCAATGTGACAAAAATCCTGCACCCCCCTTTTTGCAATCTCCCCAGCTTTCTTTCTCAGTCCAGTCCAAAACACACATTCCTATTTTTTTTTTCTTGGCAAAAGAGAAAGCTATTTCTCCTCTCAGACTCCCCGTTGCACTTTGCTGGTAAACCTTATGCTCCTCTGCAGCACATAAAGAGTCTTGAAACTTGAGTCTCAGATATTTTTTTTTTTTAATTGCTTGCTTTCTTTCTTTCTCCCTTTTCCACTCTCTCTCTCTCTCTCTCTCTTTTTCTAATTCTTTCTTTTCCTCTTATTATTTTCCCAAAGTTATGCAATCAGCCAGGCTCCCCCTTTTGTGGTCCCCCTCAGTGCAGTTGTGTGCAGCTAATCCAAATGTTGCATCAAAGGTCCCCATCGAATCATCAGGAGCTAAAAGGAGAGAGGCTTTTTGAAGAGCATTTGCCTTCCAGAAGCTGTAGCAACAGAGTAGGATTTGGCTTTTGAGTGCTCCAAAGACTCCTGGTTTGGTTTTGTTGTTTTTTTTTTTTTGGAAATAATAATTTAAAAAATAAAATCAATGATTAATTTTATTGGTGGATTGAGTCAAAAAATCTTCTCTCAATATTGCTGATTTTGCAGCCTAAGGAATTCAGCTCCCCTGGTTTCCTTGGCTTAGTTGTAGCCACAGGTAAGCTTCTGGCTGCTTGCTGGTTTGGAGATCTCTGTTTCTGAGCTGGGACGTTTCTTTTTTTTCTCCCCCCTTTTTTTTTTTTTTCCTTTTTTTTTTTTTAATATTTTTTTTTCACTCTCGAAAGATCTCAAAAGCTCCCCCTGATGGCAACAAAAAGGATTTTTCGAAGTACTTAATCGGTGGAAATGACTTAGCAGGGAGCCCACGCCGAGCCCACGGGCCACTGTTCCCCTCCTCAGAAATCCAGGAGAACCAAGTTTAACCACACCAAATTCGGCCACAAACCCAATCACTCACATCACCCTCCTCTTCCACCTCTAAATTAATGATTGTCACGTCTTGCTTTCCTATAAACTTTTAACAACAAACACGCACAAGAGTTTTCCTGGGACTGTCATCTTTCAGATTCCCTGCTTAGCGCCAGGTTTTCTGACTATTTACACTCAAAATATACATTATAACATTAATGAAAAGCCATTTTTTCCAATGAGAACGAGTTGTTGAATGCTCCCAAGGCTTCTGGGAGGTGTTATTTTAAGTTGCTTACTAATTTGTAAACATTCAACAGTGTAAGTTTGATGTTTTCGGAGATGTTGAGTAAATCCATGAAGTCCTACCAGAAGTCAATAAGAAGCAGAGCTGAGCAGCCCCTCTCTGTCCTACAGCCCTTCCCTCCACCACAGCTCTGCTCACAAGAAAGGCAAAATACTGGCAACATCTACAAAGTTTTTAATAGAAGACCTCAAAGCAGTTAAGTCTCACAGCAACCAAGAGGAAATCTCCAACTAGGAAATAAATGATACCACGGTACAAACTCCTATATGTGTCCTGAAGAGCTTGAAGGGACACAAAAAAGACACTTCTGTGTCCGTGCCTGCTCGGCAGAAACAATTTAAGATCAGAGCTGAAGTGCTGCACTTCATTATTCTAATTTAACACAGAGAGGAAAGTGCAAATCCACCAAAAAATTCAGAAATTTCAAGTGAACCTGTTCAGCTTCAGCAAGAGCTAAAAGCAGGAGAATTCCTGCTGCTGGGACTGCTTTCTGCACTTGACAGCTCCTCTGAAGTCCCCCAGAACTTTGCCCATGTAGAGTCTGAAAGAGTAGGCTTAAATAATTCTGGTTCCAGTTTCTGAAAAAAAAAACCCAAATTCTGCAAAATCACGGTGTTTATTTGGGACATTATGACCTGGCTGAAGACATCAAAGAAAATTACTGAGACACTTCAATCTGGTGGTACAGCACCATTTAATTTTGGACATATTTGACTTTCTATCTCTTGCAAAAGGGTTTCACTGTGACCAAAACACAACACCTGCAGCCTCAGTATCAAATTCTGGGCTATTCTTGCTGCAGAGAAAAGCCCAAAGCTCTGCTTTCTGTACTTAGGAAAGGCAGAAGAAAGTATGAAAAGATGGGATTTACCTCTAGCACACAAATTACACATTCAATCAGTTTTATTCCTAAGACACAGCGAAAGCATAAAGAAAACGTGATACGTAAACTCTCGGCGTGATAAAAAACAGAGATGTGATTTTAGGAGTAGGGAGTAAATCTTGGATTCTTGAAATCTGTGGGTCAAGATCTAACTTCCCTGACAGCAGATGAAATTCTACCCTGCACAGATGGACATTTATTCTCTGCTTAGGCCAGTAGTTAAGTGATGCACTGGCCTTCTGGCAGAGGGGTCCCTACCCAAGGAGAATAATCCTTCTGCTGAACTCCAGTGCAGTATTCTCCTAAGGAAAGGGAGCAGGAGATTGTCCTGCACCTAGAGGTATTTTCACAAGGAAAAAAAAAAAAAAAGCACCTAAGCCCAGCTACACATATAGAGACAAGAATGAAAATAGATATTTATGACACTATGCCAAAAAATAGCATTGAGCTAAATGCTGTATGCAGTCATTATAAGGAGAAATACTCAGCAGGAATCTTAGCTGAAGCTGCCAATAACTCCCAGGTTCAAGACCAGAGCTGAGTGAATAAATCATAACAAATAATGGTTTTGTCAAATTTTGACTTTTTTTCCCTCCTATTTGCAAGCAGACTGTGAAACCTCTCAAATATGTTTGAAATTACATGCCCATTTCTTCCTCGTATTTAGTATTTCTCTGAGGCCAATTAGCACACAATTTGCTGTAATGTACACATTTTCACATTTGTTCTGTGTTAATTGGGCAAGGAAGTCACACTGCATTATTTTTGGCTCCCCTGGGGGTCAGGTTTAATCGCTCATGATACAGTAAAATTACTAATTTTACATATGATGGGAGTTTTCACACTTGAAACCCTCCTTGTGGAAAGCAGCATTGGCTCTTCAAATTACTCACACGAAGGTCAATTAAAAACAATATTTCTTTAAAGTTGAGCTCGAAAGTCTGCCAGCTACAGCTGAATTGAGGCCCTACTATTTTGGGCAAGTATTTGTACATATTTGTCCTTACTGTGCACAACTCCATCAATCACACAGAGGTTTGCATGGTCTTTACCCCTCACCGATATCCCAATCAAGTCTCTTCCCAACTTGGCTTGGGTTGGGGATGGCTGGAACACAGTCCAACAGCTACTCTGCTCAGAATCAGACAGGGCCCAGACACCAGATTTTAATGCAACGTGTTGGATTCAGGGCATATTTTATGCAATCAGCAGTGGTATGATCGGAATCACGCTGCCTCCACGGAACAGCAAGGAATGAAACCCAAACAGCTGAGGAGAACTTCAAAGAAAAAGGGATTTTGGGTTGTGAATCCCATGAAGTCCAGCACCTCTGAGGAGACAGAGCCACTTGCTCGATGTCTGATGGGGTTGCTTTGGGTGGGACGTGGCTACAGCTCCTCGAGAGCCCAAGGAAACTCAGAAATGTTAATAACTGAAAAAAAACCCAACAGCAAAGTATTTCAAACATCTTGGAAAAGATTTAACAGAAGACCTGATGTGGACACAGTGTGAATTCACCGGATTTTTAAATGTTTTCTGTATCAGTTTCCTCCTCCTATTTTAAGAAGAGCGATTAAAAGTCTGTGTTCTGCCTTCACTGTTGCACTCCATGCTGGTGACAACCCTGATTTTAAGGATTTATAACTATTGCCTGCACACCCATCATTCCATACAACGGCACTACCTTGAGCAGGAATCACACCATCAGCACTACAACGCCTTTCTGAGTGGATAAAAGTCTCTTCTACTGCTGGTCCCTCAGTTGTCCCATACCTAAAACATGCACTGTGTTAATTTACATCAATAAAACAGCTTCGTGTCAATTTGAAATACGCCCTTTAATCCAGAAAAGTTTACTGAACAATTAAGAAGTGCAATAAATGACAATCAAGACTAAACGCATAATTGACGACTTTATGAAGGTTTCAGTAATTTTATAAGGTAATTTGCAGTCAGTGGCTGTAAATTCCTGTTTAAACCTGGCATGCCACTCTTTTTTGCCCTGCAGAGAGCTGTATTTCCTAACAATACTGATGCCTGTTCGCCTGGAATTCGGTTAC